TACTTAATGTATTTCTGTGTAGATACAACTTGGCAAATAAACTTACATGAAGTTCTGTTGTGCAGAGCAATAATACTCTGAAGAGTTACTTAGTGTCAGCTGATTGTTACGTCATGTTAATGAGCTGTTGGATCCTTTGGAGTTTAGATGTCTCTGCATACAGGTAATCCCTATTTTATTAATCCAAGACTATTGTCTGTCTTTAAGCAAGAGCATTAACCTGATGGTGTGTGGAGACCAGCAGTCTGCAGGAGACTGCTGGAAAAATCTGACATGTCTTCCCTCAGCATCAGAGTTTTCCACAGGTCAGTAGAATATAGGAATGTGGAGGGAGGAAAAGTAATATGGCACAGGCAGACTAATACTAAGACTTCTACTCAAGAAGTATCAAACCACTGTTTGTCAGAAATCTTAAGTAGGTTTTGAGTAACACTCTTGAGTAGAAGTCTTAGTATCAAACCACTGTTCGTCAGAAATCTTAAGTAGGTTTTGAGTAACACCTGGCCTGGGAGCTGACTGTGAGGGCTGGAAGACTGCACAGGTGCTCTTCTGCCACTGTACCTTGCCACAAAAGGTTGAGGTGGCACATCAGCTCATGAGCATGGCAACTGCCTGGGGTCCATTAGCCAGCTGTGCCTTACTACCTGTGTGTGATGGGTTTGGTCTGTGTGCTTGCTCCTTTGGGCTAATACTGTGAGTGCTCACTGACCTCTCCTGACCTGGATTATAGACCTGTAATGCACAAACAATGCTTATTCTGCTTCCAGAAGTTCTCAGCAGTGCAGATCTCCTGTGGAGGCTGTTCAAGCCTTTCTTCTGTGAAAGGTGTTGAAGGTAGCTGCTTGGTTCTGTTGCTTCTTCAGCCTTTTTATTGTTAGGAACTGAGAGCAGGAGGAGACTGGCATGGCTTTCCATAGCTACTAACTCACTAATGGAATAGGAAGAGATCTCTCCTACCTTCTAGGTGCTTACCTGAGGGTAGTGGCATACTATGAAGTACATCTGTGGACTCAAGTTTTGCTATTACTGTGGAATTATTTGGTATTTAAGAGCTAGGCTGTTGGAAACTCCCACAAAGCTGGAAACTGCTTCTGTCCGCACTGTACTTCAAGTGCGGAGGTTGAAACCTATCTTCAATGACAAAGTGTTGTACTGATTGTTTGCAGTTCTAGGTGCAGGCTAGAATGAGCCTGGGTCATGTAGATATTGTGAGTTGAAGCAGCTGGAGGTGCTCCTGTGCCTTCTAGAGTGGGCTTACACAACCCAGTTCAGTTCTATAGGCCTTCAAGGATAGGGATTTCACACAAGCCTTAAGATTATGACTTTTCCTTCCTGGTTGGAATTTCCCATGTTCTAAGTTGTGGGTGTTGGCCCCTGTCCTGCCCCTGTATGTCCATCAGAAGACCCTGGTTCCATTCATGGGAAGGGATAAAGTAGTGCTGTCTGCAGTTAAGATCTCTCTCCAGCTTTCTGTTATGGGTGAACAAACCCAGTTCTCTCCAACATCCATCCTCGTTGCTCTCTGCTTGACTTGCTCCAGCGTGTCACTGCCTTTCTTGTACTAGGGAACATGAAATTGGATGTGGTATTCCACATCTGCTCTGACAGATGTGAGAGTACGAGCAGAGGGTCAGAAGTGTCTGAATTGCTGCTCCACAGCTTGCTATTGCAGCCCAGCCTTTGCTGTAAGGGGGTGCTGGCTCATGTTGAACTTCTGCAATGCCGTTCCCTGAACTGTAGTGTTGCTTCAGAGGCTGCACGTGCTGTTGCATATGAACTTAGTAAACTGCCTCTTGAGGGTAAGGGGTGCTGGCAAAGGTAAAGCAACCCCTGGATCTCTGGCTTGAGAAAAAGAGGAAATACCCCCTCACACAGAGGTGAGACTGCAGCTGCATCACTAGAGGGCAACAGAGCAAGGCAGCAGATAAGGCCTCTGTGCCTGCTCACAACATACCGCGAGGTGGAACAGGGTGCCCCTTTATTGCGGCTGGAAGTGTCTGATTTGAGTTCACTTTGGCTCAGCTCTGGTAATTAGATATCACTGCCCTAAGATGCCCTTTCTAATTGCTTGCAGGGCAAAGGAGGTGAACCTTCTTCCTGCTTGTGAAGTAAGCTGAGCTCCTCATGTAGCAGCAGCAGCAAAGGCTGTGACAGCAAGTCAGATTTTTCCAGCTGAAGCATGCAGTTCAGTAGAAACTATTGTGTAAGCAGGAAGGAGTAACAGAACAGCTGTGTGTGGGAAACAGATACTGCATCTCCCTTCAGAGATCCAAGCACCACAGCTCAGAAGATGGTAACAATAGGTCCTACCCTCCCTGCTGTGACCTTCTCTGGCTTCAGGGTAGTGGATGCTCATCCTACACGTCTGGAATTTAGGTAACCTGTGCTGGACTCCTGGCATTATTCTGGCAGGAATCTTACCCTTATAGTGTGTATTGTGGTAATCAACAATCTAGAAACTTGGAACTTGAGTTGAGCCCTAATCTTAGAACTAACTTTGGTACTAACAAAGCACCAGGCCAAGGGCTAAACTATGGGCTTTATTTGCCACAGTAGATTACATAAAATCCGCAGCTGTTTCACAGCACTGTTATAGCTGGCATTTTCCCTTCAGTTTTGAGGGCTTTATACATTCATTGAGTGCAAAGAGCCTTTTCTTTTAAGTAGGGAGGGGCAGTGACACTGACTTCACCCTCTCTTTGCTCCTCATCTAGACAAGCTTGGTAAGTGTTGTTGCATAAACAGTAGTTAGGCACTCAATAAAAAAATCAAACTTTATTCCTTGTACCAACATACAAAGTTCTGAGCTGAATAACTGATCTGTGTTAACAGCTTAAGTAGCTGTGAATGGAAAAAATTAATGCTTACATCAACTTCAAAAGATAAGCTCTCAAAATGCATGTCTCCTTCAGCCACCAGCTTCTTGCTGCAGGTTTAGTTCTAAACATCCTGCTTCTCTGGAAGCTTCAACTTTTGTATTAAAAACTGCAACTATCAGCATTAAAAAATGAAAGCAAAGACAAATCTGAGAAATAGATTGAAATATTCCACTGATGTGGAATCAGCCCTCACCTTTTTGTAACTATTAATACATATACAAATATACTGTTTCTCTTGGGTAGACAACTTGGAAAAGAAGGGGAAGTCTACCAACTCTTAAAGCCTCATCCTTGTACCTGAAGCATTTAAACATTTGGCCTAATTTCCTTTTCAAGTACTGACTGTGCACACCATTACTGCCCCTCATGTACCAGTCAAAGTAAATTGGTGCAACAGACATGGAAGATTCTTCAGCCATGCCCTGCTTTTAACTGCTTTTCTTATGGATGTATAAAAGGGAAGGAACAGCTCCTGCTATATGTAAAGGCTGGGGGAAATAAGTGTTGTGGACCTGCAGCAATCACCTTTCATCAAAACGTGCACTGGAGCAGCCAGTTTAAGTGCACATTGGCTAAGCAGCTGCGAGAGGCAGCAGGTATGGAGATGCTTTCATCTAGGCTGAAAGCTTTTTCCTGTTTCTGGGGTCTGAAAGGGAAGCTGTAACAGGTGCAACTGAGCTGTTCCAGCTGTGACTGTTGTCAGTCACTCACAAGGTGTGGTTGCTGTCATGAGTTGCTAATTGCCACATAGCTCTGATGATCTTGGTGGGTTAAAAGAGCTCTGCTAACTGTAGAGGGCAGCTCATCTGTGCCTTCCATGAGGGTGGGTTGTCACTGACAGCATGCAGATGAGATCCCTCTGGACAACTCCAGGCCTGAGCCATGAGCTGTGTTGCTCTGAGACCTGCTATGCCTTCTCCCAGAATAGGCAGTAGCTGCTTCTTACACAGCAGAGCACGCTTGTATAAAGAACATCCTACTTCAAGAAGAGGCATCTAGAAATAGGTGTTATTGTATCATTTTGGATAATACTGACCACACATTCTATCAAGTAATGTGACCAAGCAGGTATGCCCTCCAGGCCTGAACGTGATAGGAACTATCCAGTCATATGAGCTTTTTCCACTCAGCTGAAGAGACACAGCAAGTGGCAGGACTCCAGCCCAAGTAAGTGCTAAGACCATGGGGTCAGTTGTCTTTAAGAACTCAGTTCTGGCTTTCCACTCCTCTTCAGCTTCCTTTTCTTCAAGCACATGGACACGTTGCTGTCAAGGTGACCCCAACAGGAACCTGCACAAAGTTACAATTCTGTGCTCTGAGCCAGCAGCTCTTTCCAGCAGTCTCCTTTGTGTTAAAGTCTTTAATTCAGTGGTGCTTAGTGTACTCCAGCATTACTTTGAAGGATTTAGAAGATAATAAAATGCTGCCACCCACTTGTTACAAATGCTGCATGGACTCCCTAAACCCAGTAACTATATGTTTTTATCTGAAATGCAGGCATATCTCAGCTCTAAGTTGTACAAAGTAGGGGGTGAACACTTCCTACTTTCACAAGCCCATGCACTGGGACAGCGTATACAAGTCAAACAGCAACTACTATGACCTTGGAAAGTCACAGAGCAGAAAGGAGCTGGAGAGAGACAGGGATCTGGCTGAGGGATATGTATTTGTCAGTCATACTCAGAAACATTAGACAAGACTGACATTATTTTGCATCAGACACTTGCCAGCAACAATGGGAAAGTTCACCACCACAGCACAGATTTTAAAAAGGTGCTTTGCCTTAGACAAGTCACAGCCTACTGCTGCATGTTACACTAAACCCAACAGGTCAACACAACTCTTTTTAGCACCATTACAGGTCAGGAAGATACATTTATGACATGCCATGTACCCACTGCAAAATCTGCAAGATGGAGATAGTTCTGCTGGTCCTATTCAAGTGGCATGTACTATAAAATCACCTGAATTTAAAAGATTACAAATCCTAAATTGGAGTAGAGTGCCTAAAATTAGGTCACTGATTTGGCCCTGCTCAGGCCATGATGTGATCTACACGGTTTTGATCGTTTATTTAAGTGATCCTTAAAAACCCTTTTGTTCTCCATCTCCTAGAAGGTATCAGTAAGAATCTATTTGTTTCATCATAAGTTTCCGGCTGTACTCATAGGCAAGGAACAGTGCTCCATTGGCCAGGAATGCACGGATCATAGTTGGCATTAGTCCAGAATACAAGGCAAGTACACCTGGAAATGAAATCAGAGCCAGTTAGCCATTTATTAAAACAGCCATCTGCATCACCCACTGCACTTTTGCCTTTGAAGGACATCGAAGTAATGCTTCTGCTTGGACAGGCAGGGACACAGAGAGAGACGAACTCCCTGGTGTAGCAGCTAACTGCAGTGTTACTGGATATGGATACAGGAGTATCTAGAGATGTAACATGAGTTCAGCTGTTGAAGTGCTTATGGTAGAAGCTTATCTGACAGAGTCTTCAGAAGGCTACCTTGGTCACCTGAGGACACAGCTCACAGCAGCTGTACCATAGCTGGCAAGTGGACAGAAAGAACAGCAGGACTATGTTGGAGCTGTGCCCCAAGACAGACTCCTGCTCTGATGAGTATCTTCCCTAGTAACAGAGCCAGGACTCATAGCTACTGCCATGCACACTTTTACACAATCTTCTGAAGTGCCTGGTGCAGGCCTTTTCCAGAAATAAGACACTGAGGTAGATGCCCCAAGTTGCCAGGATACATAGGATTGATTTATCAAACAACCCTTGGTCAGCCACATATTAACTTCTAGAGGTGAAGAAAAAATTCTGTACTGAACTTAACTTCAGTTAAGTTCCTTCAGTTTTCATGTATAGGTTTGGTCACAAGTAATGGAGCTCATTGCTTTATCTGCTTTCAATGCATACTGAGTTTTTGTTAGCTTTAAGTGAATTGTCTCCTGAGCCAAGAGGCACAGCAGATGCTATAGGTCTCAATTTATAGATTCCAAGCTTTCCAGACTACATGAAGCATCAATATTTCTGCTCATTTGAAACAGTTATTGTCTGTCTCTAACACAGTATCAGTGGACTAGGTTTCTTAAAAGCAATTTTTGGCATTGGAGGGTATAGATTTCAAATCTGCAGCCCCACAGATTCAGCTGATAGGCTGCATACTCACCTTCAGTTCTCACAACAGTTACAAACGTTCCCATAAAACCTGTCTGTTTTCCAGCCATTGAAAGAACCTGAATTCTAGATTTGACGCAGTCCACAGGATACACAGCAATCCACAGACAGCTGCCTCCAAAACCTCCACTTAGTAACAAAGGAACAGGACCTAAAGTTAAGAAACAAACTTTTATACACACAACAAAATATTCACCAACATAAATATCACATTATTTCATCTACAGAAGTCAAAGAGAACAGAGGAACCTGCTTATGACAAAAGAGCAGTTTCTGCTCCCCCACAAACATCTAAGTTAATTTTAAGCCACTGGTAAGTTGCAAGTCTAACTAGGAGCTCAAAGGTTATAAGGAGCACCTCTTAGATGATTTGCCATGCTAAAAAAGCATAACTCGGAATTCTGCTTTGACTGTATTAACTAAATTAACTTCACTCGTTTCACACTTGTAATCACTTTCCAATGCTAATTGTGAAATGGTTTAGAGTAACATCACATAGTGTCACTAATCACCTAGAGAGATTTATCTGGTACAGTTAAGTTACTTTGTGATCAGTCATTTTTCATGATGCAACCTCATTTTGTGTTTCAGATTAGATGTTTATAAACATTTTGCATCAACAAAGACCAGAATGCATGCAACTGAAATCCTAACTCCCAGCAAAACAAAGTGTGATTGTGCAGTCTTTCAACAGGAGACAAACAATCTTTATTCTGGCATCTCCTCATTTTTTTCCATGTCTAATTTTTAATCTCAGTGTTCTCTTACTGTCATTGCAATGACAATTAATGGTCAGCGTACATTTCAGCATACACTTGAACAGACGGTTCAAGGGAATACAGCTAAAGCCATCAAAATCGCTCTAAACAGCTGCTGAAATGAAATAGGTCAGAGCTGCATTACACTGTGGAGTCAGCCAGTTAAGTAGTTTTGTAGTATTACTGTTCGCTCACTGTATTTATTCTCCAGCTACAAAATATCCTGCTCCATTGGAAAGCGGTCACTTCAATAATTCATCACTATATGTACACAAAATGCAGGCTTCCGTATTCTGTATGTCCTGTTTCCTTCATTGTACAACTGCTATGCGTTATGAGCATATCTCCCTCCCTTATGTCCCCCATGATAGCATGCTAGAATCCACCAGGAAAAAAAAAGCACCATACCCAATTCATCTTTTGATCTCCCAGAGGCAAAGAACGTCCGACTCAGTTCATATCCTCCAAAGAAGAAGAAATAGCCTGGGACTTCCCGCAGCAAAGTACTTGACAGGCCACGGTAAAATCCAAGGGGACCATCCTTTTGAATAACACCTTTCACCACTGACCAAACTGTACTGATAGAGAGGTTGATACAGTTAGTGATGCTTAATAGCCAGACAAGCAGAAGGTTACAGAACAATAAGCAACTGCAGCTACAATTAAGGGTTAGATCCATAGTGTAGACAACAGGACTCAAATAAGACTCGGAACAAGATGCTGCCAGGAGCCCTTCACCAGTACCCAGCTTTACTAGTGCCTGAAAAATCTCCAGGCTGTGACCCTCACAGCCACAACTTGTCTCTGGTTAACAGTGCACTACAAATGTGACACTGAGCCAATACAGAATTAAAAATTATAAATACACATAAAAGGGTTTCAGAGATACTGGGCAGGGTGCATACTTACTTGTGTCCCTGGATTATCTTTCCTGACAACTGCATTTCATGCATGGCCTGCAGCCGGCACTTCACCAGCTCTGTGGGACAGAGGACAAGGGTGGCAAAGGCAGAGGCAAAGGAGCCTGCAGCAGCATTCTGCAGATCACTGCAAGAGAGAAACTGCAGAAGGTATTTGGGCACTGACCTTCAGTGCACTGGAGCCACTGCACCAGCAATCAGCTTCCTGAACCTGTAATCTCAAGCATCATCAAGAAAAACTGATGGACAGCCTTGGGGGAAAAACAGCAGTTACTTGAACTAGGGAGATGAAAAACCTAGCTCATTCCATCTTCACACGCAACTCAAATACATCCTTTTGATACCTGAGAAGGTATACCACAACCTTTACCCTTCTTGCTATACTTCAGAGATTGCAGCAGAACAAACACTATCAAATCTTCCTCTTCTTGGCTTTTATAAAAAATTCTGTAGACTTGTTTTACTGGGCAACTTTTGGGTACTCGTTACTTTCTCAAAGAGACAGAAGCAATAATCACCTCATATATAGGTCAGTGTTCTCAAACTCACCTTACCAGTATTAATACAGGTTTTCAGTAGAAGATGCTAGAAATCTGAAATCAAGGCCCAGTAGACCACTATAACCTTTCTATGGATGTGCTGCCATGAATGCAACCACGTAAATCTGAGACAGTGCAGACGAACATAAACCACACCACTGAACAGGACAGAGCTAATCTTCATTGACTCACAGCATTCCAAAACTAGGACTTACTTTGCGGTGGTATCACACACATTGCAAAGTCTGAGCTGCTAAACTGCCAGGACTCAAGAGGATGGTGCTCCAGGATCATTGCTTCATGATACACTTTAAATAGGCTCCTACAGACACTGGTGTGTTGGACAGGAGCTGCACAATAGTACAGAACAAGTGGAGTTTCTCTCTTCTTTCAGAGCCTGAGGAGTCAGCACAGCAGAGACTGACCTCTGCTGCACAGAAATTCTCACCACACAAGGCAGATGTTTGCCCTGTGCCCAGCAGTTTTGTACTCTTACAGTATCAAAGATTAAATCTACAACTTTTCACCTTACAGAAGCATCGCGGAACTAAAGTTGTGAGGTGAAGCAAAGCTTGTGGCATATTCAGATAGGAAAGTGACAAGAACTGACAAAGTGGAAGAAATAAGTTACTGGCTGCAGAGCAGCAACTGAATCACTTGCAGTAAATAAAGGGCAAGCTTGATGGCACAAAGCTTGGTTTAACAGGGATCTGAGATGCAACCCAATAAAGCTCAAGACAGAGTTAAGATACGGTACGTGGCCAATGCCTGCAGTCATTAAGCTATGAGCTAGAGCAAGGCAATAAGGTCACATGTTAGCATAATAAAATATGGAAGAGGTGCCTTAAAACTAAGCACTGAAGGGTGCACAGGATCCTTTCTCCTTCAGCAGAGATAAAAACCCCAGATGCTATCAGACTTGAAAAGAATTCTGATACATGTACATAAAGGACTAGATTCAGCCATAACTCAGATCTTTTCTACTTTTCCCTGTTGATGTTTAATTCTACATACAAAAATTCAACTACACCCATTGTTTAGGCTTTGGTCTTTAATACAGTGCATCTCATTGCAGAACCAGTAAGCCTTGACTCCTGCTCAAGTTTCCCCTCAACTCAAAACGCCCAATTCAGTATTTTTTCTGGGTGGGAGAGTTTTGGTCACACGGCACAGGAGCAAAAATCCTCTACTCCAACACTGCTGCTTCTTCTATAAAAGGCATTTATCTTGTTTTTCAAAGAAAATAACCTGCTAAAGATGACTAGTCACGTACTGAGAAAGTCAAACTGAGGTGAACAAAGATAATCGTTCTCTCAGTTTAGACTTTAGCACGAACGAAGTGAGTTTGGTTGGACTAAACGGGCATGTAAAGACAAATGGAATGTAGCACTTCTCTTTCCATTTGGTTGTTTCAGTTAGACTTTAGCATGGAACAAAATCAGTTTGGTTGGACTAAATGGATGTTAAAAAATAAATGGAATTTAGCATTTCTCTCCATTTTTTTGACTCATGCATTGTGGCATGTATTTCTTTAACTGGAAAAAGTGTTGGGTTTGTAACTGTCCTTGTAACTGTTTTGCAAGGCTTCACGTGCTGACCAGGGTATCTCTAAACACAGGCAGGCTGAGCAAGTTTATTTCCAAGCCATCTAAAGGTATTACTGAAAAAGTAACTTAAAGCAGAACTAAACTATTATAGCTGGTTTTGAGAAATCTCAAACACTATAAAACAATGAAAAAGTGAAAAGCAATTGCTTAGATACGGACAAGAAAAATGGTCAGGTTCACCTCAGTTTGCGACTTCACACGTTTTGTTCTTCAGGCTAAGACAGTATGACATTTTTTTAAACAGCAGAGGCAATGAAGGTAATTATAGTTCTTTACCTATCCTATCTGGAGGATAGCCACCTCATCAGGGTTTCCTTCATCCCTTACAGCACACTGAGGTTTCTTGACTCTTCCACAAAGAGAATAGGTAGAGATGCCCTGGACAGACTACGTCAATGCAATTCTCTCATACAAACACCTCATAAGATGCCCCTACAATGATCCAGATGAAGAGACCAAGGGAGCAGCACCAAGGGAGAAATCTTTCAAGTAAACTTAAATCCTTTAGTGTTTTGTCCTAGTACAGCCATGCAGTCACACCATTTGCTCTTCAATCAACAATGACTTAAACAGCCATCCTGGATCTGAAAAGTACCAGTACCTGACCAAGGAAAGAAGAGTCAGATGTCAGAAGCACTTGCTATTGCTAGATATTCCAATTACATTCCCATTCTGTATGCTACTCCAAAGATGTGGAGTAGTACACCTATGTATACTGTTTGAAAGTTTCCTGCACTAAACACACACCCTAAACATGCTGTCTCAGTCACATGAAGAGATGATGCTAGGACCTCTGCTAGTCTACGGTCTACCTCCCAGGAGGATAACAAAAGATGGTTAAGAAGTAAAGCATGCTGTTGGTAGTCCTACCTCCTACATTTTAGTGAGCAGAAAAAGATAAGGGGTCTGTAAGCTGAGCAAGCAGAAAATTCCTGATTTAAGAGAGCAATAAAAAAAAAGCAGTAACAGTTCTGTCTCAGTTGAGAGCTCTCAACTGCCAGAAAACAGCAAACAAGAATACAAGTAGAGAGAAATTAACGTACGTTTCTTCATCATTTCATATTCCCTAGTGGCAGGCCTTAGTCTTAAGATACAGCACATCTTGACATGTGACAGGAGAAGTCCTCACATAATGCCATTTTGAGATACCTGTCTTGCACGTAGGTAGGTACTCAGGTAACGTCAAGAGACCTCAAATGCAGAATCATGGCCTCCTCAGCTACTTCCATTTGGAGACAGACGTGACAGAGGCAGAACAAAGCTCTTAAAAAGCTGAACGTGGTTAATCTTATGTTAACGAATGAACGAATGGAGTTAGGATAGTATGAGAAGTCTTTTACACACTGTGGTGCAGTACAAGGATGGAGAAGGTGCAGCTACTCTCAGTGCTGCACAGAAAATATTCCTTGAGAAATGTCTAACAGTAAGGCACACTGAGACTGCCGGAGCACTGACAGCTCTAAAGTGATGCACCTGGAGAAAAGCCATCCTAGCTAGAACAAGACTATGTTCATTATGCCAGCACATAAATCCATGACTTGTTCACACCCTGAATACTCTGCACTGCTCCGGTCTCATGAGCTCAAGCCCAGATGCATTAAAATTACAACAATTTCAGAGAAAGGCAACACGGACAGTTAAAGGAACAGCTCCTGAGTGCTCACTCACTAGGAGGGCTGAGATCCTTCCACCTAGGAAAAGACTCAGGTGGGGAAAAGGGGCATGGAGCAATGGATAAAGGTCTACAAGTGGCATAAAGACAGTGGCTAAGGACCAACTGCTTCTTCCAGTTACAGAACTGATGGTTATCACCTGCAGGACTCCCTGCTGAAGTGTACTACAGATGCAAGGAACTTAAGAAAATTTGAGGGGAGACTGGACAAGTGCTTCAAAAAGCAAAGTGCTTCCAAAGCCACTGACTGGATCACATCACAGATGCAAGGAACTTAAAGAGAATTTGAGGGGAGACTGGACAAGTGCTTCCAAAGCCACTGACTGGATCACATCAGACTCAAGAAATCCTCTGAACTAAGAGCATAGCCTAGCAGAGAACTCAGACTAAATATTAAACACTTTCTACTTTCTCATTCCTTAGTCCACCACTTATTGCCAGTACAGTAGATAACACACTGTGCAAACTGGACCCTCTGTCTAATCATCATTACATTCAAGCTTTTGAAACTTAAATAAGTAAATCTAAAAAGCAAGGCAATATTAGAAAAGTGTCCTTTCCCCTTAGTATGCCTCCCTGTAAGAGGAACCATTACCTCCCCTGCAAAATCAGAACAACCTAGAGATGGAAGGAATTCCATCTTTCAGGCGTTGCAATGCTCATTCCCTTTGGTAAGATGTTCCAGGTCTTGAATATTTCTATCAAGTTGTGATTCTCTAAATCAGCCAGCTGCAGCAACAAGTAGATGGCTCTGTTGTAGTTAGACACCATATCCTACCAAAGGTCTATACTCCAAAACTTACTACACTCTACACTGACAAGGGGCAGTGGGGGCCAGGACATTAAGTTGCAACCTGACAATACAGTGTTTGCAAGTAGCAGTTGCATGACTTTTTATTTATTTTAAAGCATGAAACAGATTTCTATTACTAACCTGAGCTTTGTTTTCCTGTCTACTCCCACGATTCTTCTCACAATTTGTTGGCAAAATCCATAGCACATGAACAGAACGGAGTTCTCCGCGATGTTGGCTACAAGCGCTGGTGTGGTTCCCTTGTAGAAGCCTCGAAATCCCACTTGTTTATAGGTTTTCACAAAACAGTCAACAATGCCTTTGTACATGTCGGGGAACGTCTGCATCTTCACCTTCGCGGTGTCAAAGGGCTGGCCAGTCATCACACATGCTGTCCCACCTAAGCAAGCAGTGGAAGTTAAGAGGGTGGCTGAAGGTTATCACAACTGAAACATCTACACGATACAATGCCGTTCGGAAAACCACGCAGAAACAAAGATGAAAGAATTGTCCACAGGAAACGACAACTGCACTGATTTTAGCACAATAGCATCAATTGTCAGTGGAGAATTTAGTTACCCAAAGAAGAAAAACCATGCATAAGAGCAGTAACAGCTTGATTCCCATTAAACACCTCCTTACCTTTCTAAAAGCAAGCATCTAAATGAATCAGTTCACTTACATAAACGGGTACTGAATTAGAGGTATTTGTTCTGCAATCAAGTCACTTGTGTTAATGAGTTAAGCAACATTTCCCCCTGTTCATTAATGCAGTGGCTCACAAGCCATCTGATTTTACGTTCCAACAATAATAAAAAAAAAAAGATTTGTAATCAAGTGAGACAAAGATTCCCCAGGACAAGAGGAACACTGCTGAGAGTGTGCTAAAACTGATGATGCATTGTAAATTGAAAACAAAAGACTGAAGCTCTTTATTTCAAAACTCCAGGTGATTCTTATTTACATTTATTCCCATATACTGGAAGAAAGTGTCCAGGGCAAGCTGAAAAAGGGCAAAAGGGCAAAGTTTCTCAACATGTTATCTTTTGCAAACTGAACTGCAAGGTCAACACCCTGAAAACTTGTGAGGTATTTCCATCAATGTCATCAATAACCACTTTGCCCACAGTCCAGTGTTCTTCCACAAGATCTGACTCAATTCAGTAGCCTGCAGGAAGAGCTAATACCACACTTTTTCAGTAAGAAATAACAGCTTACACTGACAGCAATCTATTAGACATCCACACCAAACAGGAAGCATATGATAGGTGTACCTTATATAAACTTTATAGTTTTGCTTTTTTAGCAAGAGAGAACAACCATCCTAAACCAGAAGTTGATCTTTAACTAAAGCACAGTTGACATGCATATATCTTAAGGAGGGCAAATGAACACGATGGTTTTTCAGCTGTGAAACGGAAATAATTATCTGTAAACACAGATAATGTAAAGAAACTGAAATAGAAACAAATATGTGAATCCAATTAAGATTAGTTATTCTTCTTCTAACTGGGGAGTAGAAGAGTAAGCAAGCATTTGCTCAGCCAGGGTGATTTTCAATAGATTCTACTCTTTGCAAACACATTTGCGTTACATTTTTGTTGCTCCTCTGCAGGAGGACTTTAAGAGGAACTCAAGATGCTAGCTACCATAAAACCTCTTTCTCAGCCAGATGGATCATTAAAAGCTTCAGAGCAAATCATGCAAGGAAGCATGAAGAGCATCTTGCTCTGGCAGGGATAACCACGGAAAGAAGTAACTGGCTCAGACAAGTAACATCCATGCAAGCCTCAGATGAAAAGCAGAACTGGAAAGGCACAGACAGTGCTACTTGCAGTCAAGTCAGGTAGATATTAATCTACAGGACAACTGCTAGGTTCCTGTGTAAAAGTAGACCTAAACCATCCACATGTATTAAAATTATGGCTGTTGGAAGAAGCCCAAGAAAATCGGGAATGGTCTTGGGAATGCAAAGCTGAAAAATTGGGAGTTGACTGTGAATGGCTGTTCCAAAAAGAGAAAGGGCTGTCCCTACACTGTCATTGGGGGTGACACAAGAACCTCGTAAGCCTCAAGGTAAAGACCAAGAGTCCCAGTTAACACCTAAAATACTGAAGAAAAAAATCATTCTTCCAGCCAGCAGAAGTCTAAAAAAAAACAAAACAAAAAATGGAAAAACAAAAAAGTCAACCCTGCTTGAATGTTTAGACAAATGTAGTTGTAATAACACCAGAACAGTGGGGAAGAGAGCCCTACTTAACCAAAGAAGTGACTAGAGGTTGCTCAGATCCTAAGCAAAGGACTATGACCCACAGACAGCTAAATGACTTATTTATTCTTGTTCAGAATTTACTTGTCCCAACGTGTCATTACTATCAGCTAGTCCAGACTGTATCTGGACAGGAAGGTAAAACCAGGTTATGCATTTGCTGGAGGAACTAGCTGTTTGCCTCATTAAATACACTTTCAAAAGGGTGCAGAGACGTATGTAATACAGAAATGAGCACTACCAATGAAGACAGGCAATACAAAGCAAGTATGTAGAAAGAATAAGGAAAATAAATACCAAGGAACAGCAAAACTATTACAATAGAAGTAGCAAAGAAAAACAACAAGAACTTAGGATTACTGAAGTCATGTTGAAAAAGGTCTGAATTCCTTCATCTTATCCAAAGGAAGGAGAACCATACCAGAGAAGAAAACAGCGCAGTTAGTTCTAAGATCCTCTAAGCCCTACTGCCAAAAACCAGGCAAATCTCAAACGCACGCCCTGTTGGCCTGAACGTGGGCATGGAACAGTATCTCCAAGCAATGGATTTCTGAGCTAATGCCAGTTTCCAGCTCTTGTAGTAGCCAAGATGAGACACACCAGGCTTTTATTCAGAAAGACAGCTTCCTAAGCCAGAGTGCTCCACTGCCGTGGATATTAACAGCAGCATTCCTGAGCTGAAGTAGCAGGGAAGGAAGCAACCACACCTCCCATTTAAGCACCTGGCAACACCTGCAAAAGATACTAAGTTGCTACTTTGGGAACTAGTGCAGATGTTACAGCTGTTCTTTACTGAGGATCTGCTCCTTCGGCTGGATGCCCACAAGTCTATGGGGCCTGATGGTATCCACCCGAGAGTCCTGAGAGAGCTGGCGGATGTCATTGCCAAACCCCTGTCCATTATCTTTGGGCAGTCTTGGCTCACTGGGGAAGTTCCGCTGGACTGGAGACTGGCGGATTCCCATTTACAAAAAAG